ATTATTATTATTATTATTATTATTATTATTATTATTATTATTATTATCATCATCATTCTGATATTGTTTTCTCCTTCATTGTTTGCATTTGTATTGTTTTAGTCTTTGGAATAGAAAACCAAGCATCTCTATGAAGAAAATAATAATCTGTTTAATAATAAATTTGTTTTTATTTCACAGAAATAGGAAATGTCTATGGAATGCCATACCACCTTTCTCCAGAGAAGTCCATTGCGGTAAGAGAATATGGTTTTATCCTGCTTCTGACCATGCTAAATGAGGGTGAAGAGAAACTAGTAAATTGTATCATACCCGAAGAGATGATGCAAAGATGAAAGTTATATCCCCACTTCTTCCATTACAATGAAAGGAAGTTCAGACTGTCTTCCTTAGGAATTAACATAGAGATTATATTATTTCTTGGGTATCCAGCCCAATTTTTCTCATTTTCTTCTCTCTTTCCCCTAGGAGAGGCACAGCTGGTATATTCTGGTTTGCTTCCTGATAGAGGAGAACGCTTCTAGGCTGCAATTAATATTTCATTATCAATTTAGTAGTCTACATTCAGGAATCTCCTGGAAACTTATTTGATAACAATCACATACATTGTTTATATTTTGATTTGTCTTTTGGCATTTAAGTCCTATTACCAATTTTCATGTGTCTATTGTATTATTAGTAATACATTTAATATTAAGTATGTTTGTTGTCTTTTTTTCTACATTTATTCCTTATGTTTGTAAATTGTTCATTTAATCTTCCAGGAAATTATCTCACCATAAAAATCATTCTACGAAATTGGATACTTAATTATCTATTATGTACTTATCATTAGTATAGATAAACACTAGGCTTAATATCGTTTTAGTTTGCTGTTATTAACTAAGCATATCTCCCAGTGGAATCACCTGCGTCCCAATGCTATCCAGATGTCTTTGGATTGCATTGTTGCAACTATAGTTTGTTTAATTAACAAACAGGGCAGAGTTATTCTGCTGTGCAGCTGTAGGATTTGTACAGTATCTGTACTGTACAAGTGCTGTTTAGTCTGCCAGTGGCAATTGATTGCTTACAACCACTCGCTATAAATGTCTATTCATTCTTCATTCGCATATTATGAAAATTACATGACCCCAAAGTGTATATAATTTTTTTGTAAAAAAAAATTTGTAAATTTTTTGTTTTTTGTGTATATAAATTTTTGTTCACATCCATACAATTGGCCATGTAAATTATTATAGCACTGGTAGAGAGGGCCCAAATCTTGCAAAAAAGTTCAATAAAAATCCTCAATAAAAATTCAACAAAACTTGAATTTTAGAATAAGGCGTAAGTGCTTAGCTTGTGAAAATGTAACCCCAAATGTAGTATGAGACAAGGCATAAGGCACAAATAGGAAAGGTTTGCATATATTGGAGCTAAAAATGGATCCCAGAAATTGACACTCACTGGAAAAAGTTATGGAATGTGTAGAAATGTTGTGGTTAGCCTTATGTACATGTTAGGAATAGTTTTGCTGAATACAAATAGTCTTTGATTTACAACAATAATGGAGCCTGCCCATTAAAGGTTAGGAGGTGATGGCCATTAAATGAACCACCTCGTTTAATGATCCCCATCCCTGCTCTCCCTAATGCAACATTAAACAAATGTGCAAGTTGTTAAAGTTGGTTCTGGACCACAGACATGCTGTCTAGGGATATCAAGGGATGGGGCAGCTTACTCTCATTCCCAATGCAATCTGCAGAGCTTCCAGAAAAAGGTGTGTGTGAAAAGATAAATGAGCAATTGGTCGTGGAAACAGGGAGGAATGTGTGGGACCTGTTGGCATGGCAAAGCAGGCCCAGTGACAATGGGGACCAAATTGGATGGGATGGATGGGGAGTAGATGGGGGACATGCTGCAGGAGCTTTGTGGTCAGTCATAAGGTTGAACAACCATGAGAGCACTACAACTGCCATAACTTTGAAACAAGATTGCAATTAACTTTGGCAGAGTCCATCATAACTTTGAACCATTGATAAATGACCCATTGCATGTTTTGGATAACCTGTATTGCATTATATGTATGTAGAAATGCTGAGGTGTTGGTGTTAGGACACAAAAAACATTTTGTGGCCCTGTGACATGAAATATGCTGTAAATTGGAGTAGATGCTGTATAAAATCCAGCAGTGGGCATTGAGAGGATGTACAAAGTTTAAGAGTGATCTCTTTGTGATCTTTCTTCTGCAGAATAAAGTCTAGTTTATAAATCCCACTTTGGTGTGCTCAAAGGCACACGAGTATTGGATTGGGACAACAGGGTGAATAATGTGTACTTTAGTAGTGTTGCAACTCCTAGAATTTCCAGCCACAGGAACCTAGCTACCTTTCTTCACATCTTCCTTATGCTTGTATGCAAATAATTAGGTGAAATTGGTCATTTCAGTAAATCTGTAGGTGAACATATGCTGACTAATTTCCATATGGTGCACACTGTAGTTAACATATTTTACTGCTTAGCTACATGCAAACTTGCTATTTATGTGCAGTTGTTTAGAAAAGAGAGAATGTAGGTACAAAAGTCTAAACACCCTTTATAACATCTTTTTGGGAGAAGTATTAGTTTCTAAACATTTCTTATAACCAGTTAAATGTCTTTCTGTTCTTCCTTTGAAATGTTTATGCTTATCTTCATTTTTTGTGCCTTTTTAAAAAAACTACTCTTTCTTAACAGAACAAAGAAACTCTTCTAGCTCAGAAATATGCCTTATGTCTGCTGCATGTTTGAAATCCCCCCACAAGTTGCAGTAATATTCAAATCTGGGGACTGTGAAGTCTATTCCAAAACCTTTATCTGAAGCATGTATTTTAACCAGGGATATCTAAATTTTATAATACAGCTAAATATCTGTTAAATTTTATTTACTTATCTTTACTGGGCAATAAATGTCGGTGGAAAATACACTGCTCCATTAAAAAAACAAAAACAAGTAGCTTTCTGGCATTTTCTCAGTACTTCCCTTTCAGATCCTGACACAATCTTTTCTCCTTCTGGGCCTGTAGAATAAAAAGGAAATAAGAGAGAGCAGACAAGTGGTGGAACCTAAGATACCGGTAATTGAAAAGAAAAGAAAAAGAGCAAAATCAAGGACTGGAAGAAAACCTTTGAAGGTAATTTATAATACGTATTTCCGTATGCTATGTGAAATAAGCCATATCTTAATTATATACATGTTTTTGCTTGTGTGAACATTCATATGTATGCATAGATATCTGTGGGGAGTAAAGAAAAATGTTGTCACATGTCATAACATCATCACAGGAATGATGAGATTTAAGTATTGTACATCATTCTCATCATGCAACTGACACAAATTAGTTCATTTGCACAATTGTCAATGAAAGTTAACATCCAAAAATTCCCTTTATTTTACATCTAGCTTCTTGCACTACAGGTCCTTGACTTGCAACTAACTGGTCATTTAACGATTATTCAAAGCTAAAACAGCTCAGAAAGGATCTTTTCAGTCCATAAAGCATTTCCAGTTCTCATAAAACATTGTGCTGCTCCCTCCCTCAGGTCACATGATTGCGATCTGGGTGCTTGGCAACCGTTCACACTTATAGTCGACTGTCAAGCACCCCACAATCATGTGATCTCCATTGAACAATCTTCTCTATTGAATTCCCTAGAAAGTCAGTGGGGAAGCCAGCAGGGTAGATTGCAAGCTGCTGCCATCCGCAAAAGGATTTCCCCTCCATGCATGGAACAGAATTCATGTGCTGGGCTGGAGAAATGAAGCTCAGAAAGATTTGAGCTTTGTTTTTCCAGCCCGCAGCAAGCTCTCAAAGGTTAGGGAACTGTTTTTTGTTTTTTTTTGCACCAGAAAGGCAGGGGCAACTTGGCAGGACAAAGGGCAGGGCAGAGTCAAGAAAGGCAGGGGAGCCCAGTGTTTTCCTTCCCCATTGTTTCTTGCTGGCAAAACAGTTGTTCGGTGGGCATGTGTGACAGCTACTTGAGAGATGGGAAGCAGAACATGGGGTATCTTGAGATGGGGGGAAGCCTTGGGAGACCTGAGGCAAGTGGGTTTGGCCTTCAAGGATATCTCCTCCCCGACCCCACCCCCAGGCACCCCGTGCTGCACTTAAAGAACTGTCTGTTCATTTAACAAATGCATTGGAAAGAGCGGAGATGGCTGGTCATTACTTGAGGCAGTTCATTCAATGTTTGTCCTGCCTGTGAGAAGTAAAAAAGAAGAAATAATTATTCCTGTAAAAGAAAAATGTAAAAGTATCAACGTATTTCTTTTCTATATGTTTCTCTTCTATATAACCTTAAAAAACCCAGTGAAACATTAACACAGACAGTTGTGCTGATGTCGTAAAATCCATTCAACAGAAGTTTAAGCAGTAGTCTATTTGAGGATAGTTGTCATGCTGACCCAGAAGAGAATCCAGTTAGTGTAAACAGAGCAGGATGTAGCAACTGCTGAACAAGTGGTAACTAAATTATTAATTGTTAAGCATGTCACTATGGCTAGATTGTGAACCCAGGCATAATTTTAAAAATCATCCTAGAATAATCCAATATTAATTTCAACAATTTTAGCCAATGAGGCAGCAGAGAAGGTGGGAGGTGGTGGGTCTTGGTGTGTATAAAAATATGTAAAATTGTCTGTTTAATTTCCTTGGTGCCTCTACCCAGAAGGGGATTAAGTGCCATCTTTTGTGCAAAAGTCAATAAATCCTGGAATTGTTCACAATGTACCCTGTCAGTTGTTTTAGCTGAAACTTTGGAGTCTCACATGCCTTTCAACCCTAATGGGCAGGCTTCATTACAGTCATAATTTGAGGACTACCTGTACTGGAAAGTTAGATCTAGTTTGCAGCAAAATTATTATATCAATAAAGGAGAATATTTGTAGGTCAGAGTTGAAATGAGGGGTCCTTAGTGCTCCCTGATCTTGTTTTCTTGCAGATGTTTCATTACCCTAACTAGGTAGTTTCATCAGAGCTAGTAAGGAGTGCTGTTTGCTGTCAGTTTATATTCTGGTGTCTTGCCTGTCTGTGTGGGTGGGGTGGTTTTAGGGATTCTTTGTGGTTAGGCTGTTTACTGATGGCTTTTTGGCAGTTTTTTGATTGGTGTTTTGTTTATTTGATTGTTGGTCTGAAGGAACCCTCATATTATTATAGACCTCCTTATTATAGACCTCCTTTTTCCTAAGTATTCAAAATGTGAATATTTTATACAGTCTATTTTTACACAATGCTTTGCAGCAGGAGTTTCTTTAAATTGGGGGGTGCTGTTGTTAGCCTTGTTAAATACATATCTCCTTGTGAAATTTATTGATACAGTCATCAACCAAAAAGAAGAGGACAAGCTCTCCTTGCCACCTTAATGCTGAAGAAGAAACTTCAGTCCCATCCTGGACTCCTAAAGACCGATCTGCAGCAGTGCTGGCAAGAAAAGAAGAGCTTGAACAGGTAAGGAGAAGCTGAGCTTCTTTCCCACTGGCTCCCAAATATGACTGATGAAGATAACAAAAAGAAATGGGAGAGAGGAAAGAAAGAAGACCACTTCAGAAAACTAGTTTTAGAATCAGAGGACTTAGCTTGTACATTTCATCTGCCTGCTTAAGGATTGGGCTCCTTTGCATTCGTTTATTTATTTTCAAGCCATTTGTAGCTGACACTATAATCAAGAACTACAGAATCAGGGAACATAAGCACACGTTATGAACCCTAAATCTTAATTTATAAATTAGAATTTGAGAATTCATGGTTTGTTTATCATGAGTATGAGGAAGATGACCCTGATGAAAATTATGCAAGTAATATTGCATGTTTCACTCAAGGTCATCTTTCTTACTCGATACACCTGCCTTATCTAGAAGTAGCTGAACAATAACCATCAAAATTCCACAATTGGCCAGGAACTGTGGCTGCTAGAAGAGATTTTCAGAAGGCCCAGCTTTGCCCCCCCCCTCGCTTTAAAGGAATAACTTTGTTTTTCAGTACCTAGTTGAGTCTTTGTTTCAAAGAATTTATCTTCTCTGCCCAATTAGCATACATTCTCAGTGTTACATCCATAGTTGAGCTCAGTGATATTCCAAATGTGGATAGGGCTGTGACACAAGGGGAGCATTACTGAATTCATTGTGGTTCAGCACTCGTGTATTGTAATCATTTGAAATAATACTGCTACTATCCACATGCATACCATAGCCAGTTTATTCCAGGAAAAAACAAGGACAAAAATTGCGCATATGGATGTTTTGTACATTCTCTACTTTGATTTGTTTAAAAAAGATACATATTTACGTTCATATATTATTGGGTGTTTCCCCCCCCCCCCACTTTATGCTCTTCTGATCACAGCCCCAATAATTATAGATGGAGTATTCAGTGGTATGGTCTTAAAAATACATTGCTTGTTCATTGGCCTGATGGAACTTGGTCTTTCACTTTAGGCCTACCTGCAGGTCCTTCTCAACTTTGGAGCAATAGCCATCATGCTGGTGGAAAAGGAACCCTGCATGATAGAAGCAATGAGCTCAGCACTACGAACTAACCTGAGAAAGATTGGTAACTACTATGAATGCCTGCTAAAGAACTACATTGACAGCTTAACTGAAGCCAATTGAGAAGACCTCACATTGGCAAATCTACCTACTGTACCTGAAGCCTTTTCTAAGACAGTTAATGGGAGGAAGCTTTCTGTTCTTCAGGCCCGGGATAAATGATGGCCTTGGAGAAAGCCTCCTTTTGGTCGTAGAGCTGAGAAACCACTTTCTCCTGCAACAGCCGCAAGGCGCATAAGTGACAGCTAGAAGATTTGAAAGTATTATTGCAATATCAATCCAAGGACTTTGGAAGAGAAAATTGGGAGGAGGGAGGCACAAAGGATAAACAGAGGAGTGGGATGCCTAACGAATTCTGAATGGCTTTGGTAACTCAGGTCAGGTGGTAACTGGAATAGGAGTAGAATCTACTAAGTTTTATACTTTGAGTTACATGGAAGCATCGCATGTTCTTGGTAAGGGGGAAGAAGTTCTTAATTTAGATTATTAAAAATATTGTTGAGCAGTTTTGAATGTTGGACTTTGTGCAGAAGCAAGCTGGAGAAGGTCCCTGTTCTGTGTGGTCCAGTAATACTCAAGAGCAGCCCTGATGAAAATAGTATTTTCTCCTTTCAAATCTATGAAGTAAATTTTTTTTTAAAAGAATAAAATCATTTTGAAACAACTTATATCTCAGAGCTGCCTTTATTGGTGAGTTTGCCTTCAAGGTGTTGTCCCTATTCAGACATATTTTTTTAAACTTCTGGTTGTGGTTAGCAAGTTAAGTATTCAAATAAGATAATGAAGGTAGGCTTTCGGTCTATTTTTCTTTAGCATCTTTTCAATATATCTCTATGTGGAACTTTGGACAGTTAATAAAGATCCACCACAGGGTTTTAAAATTTTATGTGGACCAAAGAAAGGGGCTATTATTTACATTATGTTTCTCATTCTCTGCATTAAAATTCAGAAAGTATGTTGTTCCTTCTTTTATTTCACGTGGTACAACTACAAATGACCTTCTGCAATCTTGCATCTGCAAGATATGTTGGGCTGGCAACACGGCTTAGAGCTAAAAATGTCTGTATCTCATTTTTGGAAGAAAATTGAATGGCCTACCATAGCTCCCTGCCCTGATTTTGACACATGGGCTAAGGGACCCTTCACACAAAGATAGCAAAAACAAATGTATGGATGATAGGTGGGACAAAAGGACAACCCCCCAAAATGGAATAGCATCGAATCCATATTCAGCTTCTTAGCAAGACCCAAAGTAAGTAATAATTGCTATCTATCCTATCATCTTCCTACTGTTATTCCCCTAGAAGCAGGGTCTGCTTTTCAAATCAACAAACACCATCTTGCACAATCAAGTGCAGCTGGGTCATATCTGCATTTTGATGGAGATGGCTGTAAATCCATTGGTTGCAACAAAAAACCTAGGCTTGACATTGGTTTGGTCTGTGTTCAATTTAACACTTCCTTGATGGGCAGGCAGTATCCACTAATGGCACCACTAGGAAGAGCAGACCTCACTGCCTGCTGTTCTGCAATTGTTCTCCACCTTCCCTTAAAATTTCTTCTTGTCTTACAGCAAGTTTGAAGCAGTATTAAAAACTGATCATATACTGACCATAATTTAGCTCAAGAAGAATCCGTTTCTGATCCTTTTTTAGTGGAACAGTTGACTGCACTCTTGATTTGCCTTCTAACTCACTGCTGAAATAATTGACTCTGCAAATGACTATAGGAGAGATGATGAGAGCTTTGGCCTATATAGAATATTATTTCATGGTGTTTATGTCTCAACGACAAAGGATATGTCAAGGAGATACTGACCATACATATTGGGAAAAGATAGTCCACAATGAAAGGATAATTTCTAATTTGGCAAAAGCACTGGAAAAATGTTTTCTATTAAAACCCAACAAAGATGCTCCACGATTTGGTATATGAGCTTCCAGAAACATTACCATAATAACTCTGTTAATGCTTTCCATCCTCCGATTATTGCAGATCCTGTCCAAGGGGAGAAGGTTTATAAATAGCTATAGAGATTCATCAGATAGGTTATGTATAGTATTTATACAGAAGTTAATTTTCTGATACTGAATGTGACATAAAAAAAATTAAATTTATCTCAATTTGTATGCAAATTTATCAAGCCTTCACTTCAAGAAAGCATTTTCTTAAAATAATGAAAATATTGATCATTATGCTACAAAATCACCATCCTTTTGTCTTCCTTCAGCCTAGCAAAATTGAAGCAAAACAACACTCCTCCTTTTTGATTCCTGACCACTTCTCAAATCCTGAAATGAGAATTTGGTTTTGATTTAATTGACTTAATTCCACAAGAGAAGTATAAAAATGGCTATCAACAATTGACTCGGATGAAAACCCTTCTTGCTTCTTTTTTTTTTTTTAATTCCAAGAAGCTGCACCAGCTTCCAATGCATTAGGGATACACCTTAGCCTAGACTTCCAAAGGAAAGGTGATTATTTTCCTAATTTCTGCCTCTTCTTTTTCAGTTAAGAAATCATCTTCTCATATTAATCTTCCCCAAGCAAAGTCTTACTATACAAAAGGTCCTCCCTTTTAGTAGAATAAATGTGTAAGTGGTGTGTATGAATGTAAACATTGTGCCTTCATGGTTGTGACAATCACCCGTGATACATTTCTCCTTCCATGGTCTGACGAGAGGCCTCAATGCCACATCGGATGTTATTTTTCTATCTTTCCTGTCTATAGTTGAACTCTGTATGCTCCACCAAAAGTGAATCATATCTCCAAACCACTTATTTCATCCACATTTTTTTTGAACTCGCTCTTAGCCTGTCATTGATTTAAAGACATTAAAATCTCTAGAGACTGTTGCTTCAATTCCTGACCCACTAATTTCACTGAATGACATTAACCTCAAATCTCATTTGAGAAATTGTATTTTATTTCATTGTTTGAACTTCCAGAACATACAAATATGTGTCATAACATAGTAAGCAACATCCAATCAGAACTGCTGCTATAGGAAGCCTGTTTGTTAGTGACTTAATGTTCCAACCACAAGTGTGTGTTTAATTACAGTCTTGATGGGATGTGGGAGTCTGCTGCAGACATTCAAATGAGGCTGTATGCCATGCTGAGATAGGAAATCTGAGTCAACATGAAAATAAATCCTGTAGCAGAATGTTTTGGAAAAATATCTTAAGTACAGAAAACAAGTATAAGATCAAATCTGTTTCCGTTACAGGTGAAAGAGCATTAAGTGGTTAGTTTCTTCAGAGCAAACGTGGAGTAATCATCGTGTCAACCTGAAATACTCCCAGTACTTGGCAGAGCCAAAGTTGAATACCGTAGCTTTATATCTTCAAAATATCATCAAAACTAAACACATATATCATCAAAACTAAACACATATAGTCTGAGAAGCAGATAGTATTTTTTTCTTTCTTCAGCATCTAATGTGATGAAGAAAATTTAAGAATTAATTTTAAACTCTTGAGAGATCCAAATAAAAGTGGTTTTAGAGATTTTCTTATAGCTACGATGGAAGCTATCTTTATTTGATTTTAATAAAAATGTGCTGACTCATTAGAAATAATTCTCCCGGGCATCCAAAATTATAAAACAAATGGTGACTTTTTAATCTGCTTTTTGGATTTAGAATTATCAGCCTTGCAGCAGGAAAAGAATGAAATATTTATGCATGCATGCATGCATCTTTAAGCAAGTTTCTGATACTAATTTTAATCTAGTCATTGCAGAAGATGATCTGCTTTCATTATTGTTTCTTCCCCCTTTGCTTTCCCCCTTTTGCTAATCATTGCCTGTCTGCTAGGATATACTACAGTGTTTGCTGTTGGCTCTTGCTCTGGCAGCCCACCCTATTCCTTTCCCAAGTGTTTCCTGCTCCATGTTGGCAAAAGCTACACATCTGGAACCAGGCTTTGGAATTGGCTTCCCAAAGAAGAAACCTTCTGGCTCAGAGTCAGAAGAGGATGAGGATGAGCAAGTGAGATACTTGGAATCATCTAGTTCCCCAGTAGCTTCCTGTTCCTCAGTGCTGCCTTCATGTATTCTGTCTGGAAAATCCATAATTAATACAGATGCCTGTGAGGCTACCGAGTGCCTGCTTTTGAAGTGGAAGTCCGCTTGTGGCCGAGATGTTTCTTGAAAATAAGTTTTCAAGTTGCAATTATCCCTCAGAACTGTGGTGCTCCAAGCTGTGTCCATAGAATGAGAGATGGAGATTCGCACATCCTCTTGAGGTGAAACAGTCAATGAGTCAAATACATGAAGCTGTGGGGTGATTGTTCTATTTCTGAAAGAAACTGATTTCTCCTGACTGTCAAACTCGGCATACACTGAGGAATTCCCACATGAGTGAAGCCTTTCAGTCACTGCAAAAGGAATTAAAGGTTAGCATTTATGAGAAGTGGGAATGATCCTGATTACTGAATAATTCCTAGAAAACATTCCAATAACCATTTGCTGATAACAATGAGTTAGCAAGAGGTTGAAATTTCCATACAGGCTTGTTTACACATTACTTTAAATTATAGTTTGTTGTTTTTTTACCCTGGTTTGTTGTATTAACTATAAAAGCTTGATGCACAGAATCTGCTAAGACATAAATCATACCTTAGAAACTACAGTGTCTAGGCTCATGTACCACACAGAATCAAAATCAGACATTATGGCTTTGCATTTTATAACTCAGCTAAAGGTTCCAGTTATTCTTTGAAGCCATTTCACAGATTCATTGAGTTGGAGTCATTTAAGTTATAGTCCCGCTCATTGCAGGAAAGTCAATATAAATTGAAACACAGTCAAAGGAAAACTCACAAATTTTTCCTCTCTAGTTTAAACCGGTATTAAATTTTGATTACCATTCAGTTAGAATCTACTAATGTGACTGTGTAATCTGCCATAGAATTTTGCCTGGTCTGTAGCTCGCTGGATTCTTCTTTCTTCAGTTTTTCAAGATAGAGATAACTACCCTTCTGTAGCCACGTTTGCTAAACTAGTTCTGCAGGATTTCTCAAAGAGAATGTATAATCATATAATACACAAGTTATGTTGACCAGACCATTTGCAAAGTGCTTTGTATTCCAGTTGAATTCATTCAAATTCAGTAGGCAATTCCTTATATTTTTATCAAGCTAGAACTGGAAATCTGTTCCTCCAAACAGCTCTTCTCTTAATTGGCTGAAGAAGATACTGAGTGAAAATAGGAGTCCATTAGTTCCACCCTTTTTATTCATGGAACTGGAACACTGCTTCTTTTAAACATAACTGATTGATTGTTCTTAGCATCTTTAATTATGGTTTTCTCATCTACTTGTAGTTTTCCCTGTTTGCAAGCCTCTCTTCCTTCTCTCTTAATGAGTGTCCTTTTTAACTTTTCAAATCTTCATTAAGCTTTTTAGGAAATTATATTGGCTTTTTCTGCTATCTACATTTTTTTCCTCATTGGAATTCTTTGCAATTGTGCTTTTAAGAAATTGGGTTCTATAAATTACTTATCTTTCCCAATTTCTCTTGATATTGTTCTGAATTCATTAAAATCTGCTTTTTTTGACATCTAAGATATGTAATCAACTACACCCAGTATTTGTTTCCACTAATTTCAAGAATTCCAGTATTATATGGTCATTTTCATCCAAAGATACAATTTCTACTATTATTGCCATTGTTGTCTGTATTGGAAACTACCATCAGTCCAATGATTGGTTGGCTATTTCTGAAGCCCTAGAAAACGGTTATCAAACTCACCATGTCACGTTATGTTTTGCAATGTTTTTACCCTTCGTGGAGCTGGGGTATGCATGGGCTGCACATGACAATCCAGCCATGGGCCGCCAGTTTGACACCCCTGCCCTAGAACCTCCTATAATTGATAATAGCTGTCAGCTGCTTTCTTCTTAATACACTGGCATAGATTGCCTTCAAATGTGCAATGATGCACATTTGTTAGTTGGAAACTCAGTGGAATGATGCAATGATGTTATATTACCTACAGAATCTTAAACAAAACTGCAAGAGGAATTCAATAATAGAAAATCTTCATCTGGGCAAGCATCTGTTCCACCCAAAATTCTAAAGGATGATATTCAAGACCCTTACCAACTGCACTTGCCCTTTCCTCACGGCCATCTCTTTGAGTTCTCGCAGTTTCAGAGGAGCCATCAGGGCTGCTGTTTCTAACTCTTGAAATTGGGGTGGAGTCCGGGGATGGAGCAGAGATGAAAGCAGAGTCAGAGGAATCTGAGTCACTGGAAGACAAAGCTGATTCCTTTTCCAAACTACAGGCCTCAGAGCAGAAGAGAAGACCATTGCGAATGGTGATTGGCTGACCCAGCAGTGTTTTATGGCAAAGGCTACAATAGAAACACGAGTCTTTGCTGTGCCAACGTTGACCTTGTAGTACGATCTGTTTACTGTTGACACCTGTGAGAAGAGAGTAATCAACAAGCACTTCACCTCCTGCAGTGTTGCTGGAATACTATTTATGTCCTAATTTGCTTAAGAACTGTCTGTCCATTATGTTGCAGACTTTTAAAAGACAGAATAAAAATTCAAGTTTCAAAATGTGTAAATAAAAGACAACACAAGCTTAACATTAAATCACAAGTTTTTATAAACATGAAGTGGCATTGCATACTAAATTAAATTTTAACATTGTGAACCTTGTCCAAACTTCACAAAGCTATATAGCAGCACTAGTGATATTGATTCTATATTACTTTTTTGCTTTTTACTTTTCTTGGTTCGTATCTTGGGACAGGAACCTCTGGCCTTCCAGCTGTTGTTGAACCACACAACTTCCAGAATTTTGTATTTTCAGGTGGCTTTGAAAACAGATTAAATTCCTACGGTAACACTATTTCACATACAACCACTCACTCATAACCATAGATTTCAATGGAACTTATTCTTAGACAGTAAAAATAGGATTCCAGCCACAAACCAAATGCCAACAGCCACAAAATCCACTGAATGAACCCCAGTATCAGCATTTATCAAACCCAGAGAAAGCTTGTTAATGAACTATAATTTAGGTAGTCATCACAAGCAGTTAACCATTTATTTATTTATTTAAAGGCACAATAAATATAACATTACTATATGTTTGACACCTATAACTCTATTTGAAAGCTCCTCAGTGATATTTTGAGTTTTTCTGAAATTTTCATTTGATCCTATGAAGCAAAATACATGTTTAACGTTGCAACTTTCGCATTATCTAAGATACTTTCAACATCTTTATAATTCTGATGACTACTACTACTACAACCGTTATTATTTTTGCATAGAATATGACCTGATCCTAGCAGCTATAAATGAAGCTAACACTTTGAGCTGCAAATATAAGAATGGAAGATCTTGTCATAGAAAACTGTAATAGATTTCTATATTTGCAACTATAAGCATTGTAAGGAGAAGTTCACCTAATTATTAAATTAGACACAAACTGTATCTGTTGTGGTGATAAAGGGCATATTAAAGCGTATTAATTTCCTTTGTAAAGGTTTAGTTTTTTGTGTAGCTTGGTAGCAATAATTTGAACTTAGAACTTAACACCTAGTGGTATGGTCTTAAAATGGAGACAGCTAATATAACACAGACACCTTAGACACCTAGAGGTAAGTCACAAGAAATCAACACTTAAACACTGATGTTTATGGTACATGTTGATAATATCATGAAGAATATTAGAAGTGTGAAAAGTAACAGTAAGGCCAATCTAATAGCTTATCAAAACATTCCACAGGAAAAGGTGCTGTATAATTGCATTAATGTTTTTATCTCATCTCAATACTGATATAATCTGGAGAATAGGGTTACTGCAGAATCTCTTCCCCTCAATTTGTTGGCAGGGAGCCCAGTGATCACTACAAGTAATTTCTAATAAAATATGCTTTGTTGCTTCTATCTCCAAATGCTTTGGTTCTCCTTTTAAGTGAGCATTTTTCTCATAACACTATGAACACCAAATACATATATATAATATATATATAAAGATAGTCCCAAGTAACCTTTGGGTGACATTCAGGCAATCTTTAGGCAAGTTGATACTTCTGAAAAACAGGAAAGGCCGTAAACTCTGTGCACATGTTTTGCTTGCAGGAACATGCCAAATTCACTCCTTATTAGGCAGCACTGATCTAGATGGAGTGATGATCTGAGGCAGGTTCATACTTTTCTTCACAAGTCTACAGAAGGATTCTGGACCTACCAACAATCTCTCCACAGGCTTGACAGATATCTGCATAAAAACTCTCAAAGCAAGCACAGCAGTAGGGTTGTCCACCTTTCATCACATATTGCTGAATGCGCAGGGGCAAGTCACACTCGAGACAGCAAAAGTGTTCTTCATGCCAGCGCATGCCTTCTGCCTCCACGCACTCAGAGGTGAAGATCAGCTGAAGAGACATAAGCGATGAAAGTTCATACTGCTATGAACTAGATATGAAGGTGAAGTATGCAGTGTTCCAAGATCAATTTTCTTTCTAAGGTAAGAGCACAGGCTACACAACTATTATTTACTCAACCCTTTGCAGTGACCTTATTCTATAAATCAAGCTTTCTGCTTAAAAATACACCATATTTATCCAATTGATAACATTCTCTTCATATATCTCAAATAAGTCATAATCTATTCTTTAAATATCTCCAAAGCTATCAGGCTTAACGCCATGTTAAATATGTACACTTTGTTTACTTTTGCCTATTTTATTTTGATATTTCTACGACAATTATCACTACCCAGCTCTGTCAAGAATTCTGAAACTCCACTAGTAACACATTGGTCTCTGCATATTCTAAGTGTTTTATCTTCCTATACCATGTACCTAATTATCTTCCTATTCCCAATTACAAGATCAAAGAATTGAAGGAAGTAAATTTAGGAATTTCTACAGGGGATAAGAGAGATATATGGTTAAATCTCCTCCAAAATAAAATCTCCAATTATGATGGGAGAAAAAAATTAAAAATCCCATTATATCATGAAACCTCTCCTATGGGTAACAGGATTCTAGCTCCAGTCTATCCATCTGCATATGGAAATGGCCAGGCTAGATATATCAGTTGATTTAGTTACAAGAATACAAACATACCTACCTGATCACATGAAGCACAGCGAGGGCGGAAAAATTCTGCATGGTGCCGACCACAAAAAATCTTCTCATCTTGATAGAAGTAAATTAGATCTATGAGTGGTTGCTGGCAAATGTGGCAGACAAAGCAGGTAGGATGCCACCAGCACTGTTTGCCCAGCTTAGAGACAAATACACCTTGGTCTCCTCCGATTACATTCTTATCACACTAAAAATCAAGCAGAAAGAATTTATTTTATCTAAGAGCCTTAATTATAACTTTCTTCCTTCTGTAAACTATTAAGACTGCTATGCATGCTTTACTTTAATAATTAAAATCAAATTATTTTACCCAGGCAATTTAAATTGTGAGTGAAAGGAACATGCATAATACAATGTTAGCAAATTGCATTTGTTTGCCTAGATGTTTTTTTTCTGTGTATAGTTCTATAGTGTTTGCTGTTTGGTCTAGTACAAACTCGCAGTGTCATGTTGTCACATGACGTATTGTGACTTTTTTCCTTCGCTAAACCGAGAGTGGGTGTGGTCAGCATGCAACACATGCAGGCTTTGGGCCGCGAGTCTGACAACCCTGGTCTAGTATATATTGGTTTTCATAACAGGAGTCAACCACTCTGTGTTCCTTCAACCATTACAAATATTGCATAGTCGTTTCTTGCATTTCTAAGATTTCAGTAAACATTGCCTATATCTTTTTCAAATATACTTTCTCCGACATAAGGACCTACAACTTCCACCTGCACCTGTTACCCAGTGGTGGGATTCAATTTTTTTTTTACTACCAGTTCTGTGGGCATGGCTTGGTGGGCATGGCAGAGGAAGGACACTGTAAAATCTCCATTCCCTCCCCACTCCTGGGGGAAGGTTACTCAAAATCCCATTCCCTCCCCACCCTACTAGCCTGCTTTCCAGCTCCATTCTCCTGTGCAGGCCAAAAAAAGAACACCCAGCTGATCAACTGGGACTCGGGAGGCAGAGAATAGATGGAGGTGGGGCCAATCAGAGGTGGTATTTGCTGGTTCTCCGAACTACTCAAAATTTCCACTACCGGTTCTCCAGAACTGGCAAGAACCTGCTGAATACCACTTCTGCTGTTACCATATCCAAAATTAGTATAACTGCAAAGAGCACACTAAGCAGGAAAAACAGGGCTAGAGATCAGTCCAGACATCTCCATAATATGTCCAATATCATGGTAAGAATAGCTCACATTTCTGCATAAGTACTCCTCAGCTGTGAGAGGCAGATGACGTAAAACTCCCTGTCCCAGGGATTCCTGTCGCCGCCATGCAGCAAAGGTACGGAGTTGTTTTCTTTCCTCTTCCCCGATGAATGGACAATATCTCTCCTTAAATTAAAAAAAAGCAAAAATGGTGTCAAGATCGAAAAGAAGCAATTAGATAAATATGTATATTTGAGATGCAGGAACAAAACAGAGATAGGTGTTGATCAACTTGCAAATATTTTTGAAGTTTTATTGTAATTCCCAAAGATACTTTTCAAACCTTTTTCTTGTTTTTTGTTCCTTGAAAACATTTCATTTCTCATTCAGCTTCTTAGATGAGAAGCAAAATGTTTTCAAGGAAAAAAAAAACACAAGAAAGTCCGGTTGCCTTTTGAAAAGCACCTTTGGAACAACCATGACCTGGATGATTGAGAATCTGCATAGACATTTATTATAATAACATAATTTTATTTTTACATTTGCTTTTATTCAGCTTGGTTAAAAAAATTGGCTTGTAAATATATAAATGAAGCTCTTGCTGCATATAGTTATCTTATTAGTCAAGACCGTATCATGTACAGTATATGTTAACAATAAATCTCAATGCTATATTTAGTTGGCAGCTCATTTCTCTTAGCTCTTAGCTCTTTTTCCCTCTTAGCTCTTTTTCTCTAACATGATTCTGGAATACTATGCACATCTACTCAGATGAAATCCTACTATGTCAAATGTGGCTAACTCCTAAGTGAAAAGACAGAGGATTACGGCTTGGCTTTTCTCTAAATCCTATTTTTGTCCAATACACGTTTGGAAGGAAAAGTTTTTAAAAGCCTGGGCAGTGTGTTGCAATTTAGTGATCTCTTTAATATCTGAGTACTAATTTTGACATTAATGTTAGAGTCAGTCCTGCCCATATGGAGGGTACCAAATTGTGAGAGAAAGTGCTAGGAGTTGGCTAGATCATTAGAACAGCATTGCAACAATAGCTTTAATCAAAGCTGGTTACTAGTGGATGTGAACCCAAAGAGGTTATTTGTAAAGATAGCATATTCTGGGTAGACAAAAAGAGACATTAAATCTATCTTTACTTCAGTGGGCCAGAAATCTCTTTCAGTTGTTTATTCTTGGGAACAGCAATAAAATCCTAAGTCAACTTTCTGACTGGAGTATCCTAGAGCAGGTGTTCCCAACCCATGGTCTGTGCACTGGCACTGGTCCGCAGCATACCAGAAACCAGGCCACACAAACAAGCAAAACCCCATCCGCGGGTGCAAGCAGCACACGAAACCACACCCTGTCCAGTCAGTGGAAAAACCTCTCTCCACAGAACTGGTCCCCAAAAGGTTGGGGGGGGGTTGTCCTTCATGGGAACATTAGTTGCAAATAAGTTTGGTGATGGACACAAGGGGCCATAGGGGCCATACAAAGGAATCTTCCAAATCCCAGTGATGTCAAAATTACAAAACATGTCATGATATGCAATACAATTTTGCATTGCATGTAAGAACATGAAGAATAAAATTGTGTTACTATGCACATTTCATCACTTGTCCCCTCTCTGTTAATCTTCTCATCACTCCTTATCCTTACGATTTATATTGACTGTTTCCTAGTATGATTTGATTGATCATACCCTATGACTATCATTAAGTGTTGTACATTATGATTCTTGATTCTTAACAAATGTATCTTTTCTTTATGTATATTGAGAGTATTACACCAAGACAAATTCCTTGTGTGTCCAATCACACTTGGCCAATAAAGTATTCTATTCTATTCTCTTTTCCAACAGGCACTTGAATCACCAAGTTAGTGCATTTTTATTATTTATTTATTAAATTTCTATACCACCCATCTCACTTAAGTGATTCTGAGCTGTTTACAACGTTTCTTTGGTTACCTTTTCTCCTTGTTACCATATAGATTCTCCTATTGCTGTTTTTTTTAAGAAAGATCATGAAACTGCATGACTAGAATTTGAAAAGAACGGACAGCCCAAATAACTTTTTCAGTGCAAACAAGGGTCATAAGAAAATAGTTTTAGCAGGATTCTTCAATCAAGTGATGCACTAGTAAAAAAAGACCCGGCAAATCCTGGGTAAGGTTTTAAGAAGCTTACATCGCAGTCTTGTGGAGGCAGCTGGTAGAGGAGAATTTTGATACGGAGCTGATTGTGAATAGCAGCAGGTACCACAGCTGATGAAAAAGAGCTACTGCTTTGTAATACCTGTAAAAGTAAATGAGATGGAAATGAAACAGTGATATCTCTATGTATTGGGGGAAAAGAGTTTCCTGCACTATCCTTTGTTTTACAGGTCATCTTCTCTAAGCTTGATAAAAGAATCTGAGGTCCTTCCCACATTAAGAGATGAAGGGATAATTAAAACAAACCAACAGGAAGAAGAGAGCTAATTTACTTTCCATTTATTGTATAGCACATAAACTAGGAAAAGTTTGACAAAGGCTACACCTATCCTCCTGCATATGAGTTTGATCAAGCAGTTAAGACTTGACATGGGAAGTCTCTTCACCAAAAGAACAGAAAAACTGGGCAAAAAAGTTTTTTTTAAAGTTTGTTTCCTGCACTTTTCCTTAGCCTTTTTCCTGAAAATTAAAAATACTGAAAAAATATATTTCCTAATACATTTATTTATATTATACGATAAAATTGTTAAGATGAACTGAAATAAGTTTATACAAACAGAAACGTTTTTTGGAAATACAGCAAATTAAGAAATAAGTGAAGACTCAAGGCAAAGTGAAGCTTTCTTCCGTATAGTTTTAGTACGAAAATGATAAATTATCAGACACAGAAAATACTGATAATTTCAAATTCAGAAAAGAAGACCGATTAAACAACATTTCATAATTCTGGAAATTATGAGTAGTCTGTCTTTCTCACCTTTTAATTAAGTTTAATAAATCAAATTATACACGAATCATTTTATAGAGCAATAAAATTGTTTTATATCTATAAAGAGCATATAAGTATTACACGTATTTCAATTTTCCTCCCTGTTAGTGTTTCCTCCCCAAAATGGAAAGGGGATCTTTGTTTTTTCCCCACTCCTTCAAACTTGCCAGAGTGTTTACTTTACATCTTCAAGTGATTTTATCTTTTCAAGTTGTAATTATCTACTGATTACAATCCACCTGTTTTCAAATTCTTTTCTTTCTCTGGAATCAAGCTTGAAAATAACAAAAGGACATGTGTGCCATTTTGACATATACACAGATTCATGTGGTGTAGGCTTGGTCCCAGATCCAGAGGCAGCAAAGGGCAGTAGCCAACCTTGTTATTGTCATAACTCCAAATGATTGTCAAATGAAAACACTGTTCACTAGCCGACCTGGAAAAAATCTCAGCAGGGTTAAACCTTGTGAATATTGAAATAGGAAATCAAAATAAAATCCCTGTGAAATTGAGGGGGAAAAACATCCTGGAGTAAGGCAGTGACAAACCATATTGTTTGAAGAAGACAAAAATGACCTTCTGCATATAGTCGTCAAGGAGTCAGACCTGAGGGAAATTTTACCTCATACCAAAAATAATATATCACACAGAGATGTAGATCTGAAAGTGTCTTACTGGCTCTGATGGAGGAAATCCAGTGGTTGGACCAGGATAATCTTCCAGGGCGCAGCCAGAATCACTGTCTGAAGATGAAGCAAGTGGTAGAGAAATTACAGTTCTATTACATGGAGACCTCTCTCTCTGGGACCAAATATGGCTTGGCTGGGACATCCGCAGAAAGGAAGTGCTGGGAAAAAAAAACCAAGTCTATTAAAAAAAAAAAGGCCAATTCTTTCCCTTTCCCTTACAGTCTACCAAGAACACTGTTAAACACCAGCATGGCACCTATCAGATGAGATAGACTTTGGCTACCAACGTCTCAATTATACAGGATTGCTAACATATGTTTAACATAGATTACTAAGATTTTCTACTATATCTGTGAGACAGAGGAGTAACAGAAGCAAATATTAATTGAAGCAAGTATTTCACAGGATCATTGCAATGTGGTGGGGGGTGGGTGGGGGTGAGATTTGTAGTCATGTGGCCTTTTAAACCAAAAGGATACTTACTGTGGGGGATTTTCCTTTGGACCTACATATATTATATTAATCACGTTAAGAGTTCTTGTTAGAAGAACAAGCATAGTCACGTTCTATAGACATAAATTATACTGCTAATCACTTTGAATATGACTAATTTCTTATTCACATATGGCTAAGGGGTACAGGTTTCATTCTGCTCTATTGCACTTTATATTGAATGCCTTATATTCACAAGAAACCCTGTTATAATTTTTAACTTTTGCAAAAAGGCTGTAGAGATTCTCAGTCATCTAGGTCATGGTTGTCCCAAAGGTGCTTTTGTTTTAAAATGGTTGCTATAGCCAAATATTTACCTGAAGTATGTCCTCCTGCTCTAACAAGACAGGGAAAAGATAAGTAGTATCCTATGAAGTTAGCTTAAATGGGAAGGAAAACCCACACCAAATTCCCTTCTGATATGGCTATTTTGTGAATAGCTACGTCAACCTTTTTGTGAGACTACCCAAATCAAAAGTGCCCATCATTTCCAAAATCTGAGGATTTTTGCTTTAAATGACTTCCAGACTTACAAAAAATATTAATACAAAAGTACTAGAAATAAAAATTACTGGGTCGCTTAACAGGGCTGAAATTGAAAGGTTCAAACCACTTGGTATTGTTTCCACACTCCTGATCCCACAAAGAGCAGGCCCAAAGAGCCCAGCAAAGTAGCTTTGGTGAAAATTCTGATGGTAATTGATACTGATGTTAATTCTAGGCTTCTTTCATTCCAAAGATGCACATTTGTATTCCAACAACTTTTTAAAGCAAAAAACCCATAATTCTTCCATAAAGTACTGGGATATATCCTAATTTTATACCTCTGGAAATGACTTCAATCAAAATATCTAAGTGCAATCTTTCTAATTCCTAACTTTATTTTGTGAGTCTGGATTTCTGGAGACAAGAGGTCTAGATCACAATATTTTCATTATCAGCTAAATTGAATTTACCCCCCTTGTATTTGGCTCCATTATACTTACAGAATCCTATCTTCTAACAACCACGTTAGATGTATGGTTTCTCTCCAGAAGACCTTCTCAATACCAGGATTAAGGAGTGGCAGAGTCCCCTCTAAGCAAGAAATAAGGGATATTTCATTGATTACAAGTGATTGCAATTTGAATGGAATAAGTTGCTCTTTGAAACCCACTGATCATTTTTTAATAAAACAATTCACAATCATAGAATAGCCTTCTTATTAGTAAGATTCAACCTTGCTCTTGATACTTGTATTTGGGAAAACATATTATGTGAGAGTTCATTCTTACAAACAGAACATGTTTTTCCAAGCTTATTGTGTATTTTATAAAGATACTTTGTCCCACTTTTCTCATTTTCCTGCTTCTACAGTACTTCCAATATTATTACTAAAATGCATTGAAACCACATTTTTCCTTACCATCAGATCCAGACACACACATAAATATTACTTATTCAAACTGCCTTTATTTTTCATTGTGAGTCACATAAAACTTGGATGAAACACAGTGGCAAAGATATGCAAATAAACAAGGAACCGTACCAGACATATGCTTTTTCAAAGACTAGTAGATAATTTCACATAATCCCTAATTTGTTACAAATTGCCCACAGGTGCTTGTTAACTGGAAGAGCATTCATTTTCTCCTCCTTCTTGAGGCCATGACTATTTCATAAATGGTTGACATAATACACATTTAAAGTCATGCCTGTTAGTATAAAAGTTGGCTCTTGTTCCATTTATGTCTACCACGAGTTAAAAACTCATATCTGAAAAGTTTTTGCCAGCCACAAACATAATCAACTAGTCTGATATCCTTGTTGTGATGTGATTATTGTGTGGGTGCATAAATTGATAGCAGTAACTATCGATTATTAATTGATAACTCTAAAGCCTAACCCATTTGGCAGGAAGAAAGCACATTAGTTGAAATAAGTGGACATAATTGATTGGTGCTTGAAACTTACTGAGGGCCAAAACGTTTTGGTGGGCAAAAATAAAAGCCCAAATATTTTATCAGCTAGTGCTAGCAAAATTAACAGTGTTATTTACAACAATGCTTTACTCATTTTCTGAGAAAATTTTCTCTATACACCTCTTATTGAACATACATTTCCAGAGATTCTGGAATGAAACAACCATAATGGACAGACATCTTGTCAAACTAGCTGAAGAAAACAGAGGCTTTGTGGTTTTTAGCAGTGAAGGGCACTGCTTCAATTACTAACCTTGTAGGCCACACACTATTATATATGCAAATAAATGTACTTGCATTTGAAGTTAAGTAGCGACTATTGCCAGTCAAGGAATGAAGAACTGTATCTGCTATTTTGCTGTCCCCATTTCTGATCCCTATTCTGACTCTACTGTATTTGTTCTGAATCGATACTTAATGATGTTGTCCTCATTATCTCTGTGTAATGCATAAAATACAGAGTGTGATTGACGATTCCCCCAGCCTCCGAAAACCAAGTTTCAGATTACTCTGGGTTCTGTTTGGGAGGCAACAGGAAAGGTTTGGGCCTATCTTCCCCCTTGTTACACAAAACCACAAAGGACCATGGAATTAAAGCACTTGTAGCACTGCACTATTGCATCATTCATCTAAACTAGCATTCACATTCAAAAGTGAACCATCTTGTATCAGTGAAAGTAGCAATGCTTTAGTGGAAATATCTCAGAAACTATGCTGTAAATGAGACCACAGTAAATGTCCGTGATAAATGGACAGAATCAGAATCCAATGGCTCTGCTGATACCATCCCATATTCCATGGACCATCCCATATTCCATGGCACACATTCCACATTCTATGGCTGCATTGTTATAGTCTTCCCTAACTTGGTACCTTCAGATAGGTTGAACTTCAACTTTAATCAGTTCAATCCAGAAAGGGAACACTTATCAGTTATTTGTTATAAGTTAAGGTATTATTACTATATAATAAAAAAAAGTGGATTAAGTGTGTAAGTATATAATTAACATCTAAAAATAACTGATACAAATGAATCCAGAAACTACCATCCTGCATGTTGCTTGAATTTTAATTTCAGAATTTGGGGAATCTTAACTATGGATTTATCAGTTATAACACAACACACACCCCTGCAAACTATAAAAAGCAGAACATTCATTGGATCTTCTTAAATAACTTGCATGAAGCATTGTTGGCATTGTTTTTAGGGGAGCCCTTTTCTAGTCTTCGGACCCTGGCATATGCCCAACTTTGCCACTACACAATTGAGGACTCACACACCCTGTCTGTGAGAAAGCCTGACAATGGCCTTTTAGTCTTGCCCTGGGCTTCATTTCCTTCCTGACTCTCCTGAAAGCATTGTGGAGACTTGCCATTTTAGATAAACTTTTCAAAATGTCACCCTTTTATTTTTGCTACTTTACTGAGTTTAAAGATAATTATGTTGTTTAATGCTGTTTCTTGTAACTTTTAAAAAAATGTTTCAAGGCTTCACAGCTTTAAAAAGCAGAACAGACATTTCATTCAACACACTTGGACTGTTCATGCTGTGACTAGTTGAATTAATAGGCATGGCATGTGCCCAGATTAGCAGCAAATCCGCTGCCATTGTGTGCAAATTGTTATACAGTTACTGATACATAAGCTGGCACTTGGGTGTGTGGCAAACCTATCAACACTACCCCAGACTTAATTCAAACTGAGTTGATGTAATGAGTCCAACTTCCTAAAAAAGTTATGAGTCAACTCAATTTTCCAAAAAGACATTTTCCATTCACGCAGACATATATTTACATGGCAGGGATGCAGATATTGTTCAACAGTTTATTTTCAGAGATATGGCAATTTTTTGGTTCTGAAGTTACTCAGTTTTTATCTACACTGGCTGTGGGACATTGATTTTTCCCTTCACGCCTTCATAAGCCTGCAGCGTTAATCATTCCCAGATGCTTGGGCAGGGGGTTCACATACTGGGCAACTTTCCTGGTTAATGGTTATGGAAAGAAACAGGCTGATTTTTTTCCAACTCTTTCTTGCTGACTTCCTTCCTCTTGTCCGTTTCCAAAACAAAAGGGGTTTTGATGGCAGTTTGATGGCTCAGTTCAACTTCTGTAACAACTTGGATACCTTCCCAGAGAATGGCTCTCTCTTGTTAACTTTCCTTTTCCAATACTAAAGTGAGCAGAGAAAAAGGGGTGGCCTTGAATGGGACTGAGGAAGAATGGAGATGCAATAGCCTGACTCTAGCAGGAACCATCAGTGGTTATAGTTTTAGTGGCAAGGTGGTGATCCAATCAGATGCTGTTTCAGCATGTAGTTATAAAAAGCTTTTCTGTTCAACCGGCAGGTAGCCAGAGAGCAAGTAAACAAGTTCTACCTGATTCATTTGGGACATTTCACAATTTCTGAAATTCACCTCAGAACAGAACTACTAATATAGAGGGACATATAGTCAAAGTCAAATATAGCATAAATTACTCTAGCTTCAGCTACCTATGTTTTAGGTTGGGAGAAGGAATGGACGCTTCTGTACATTGCCATTAGATTGCAAACAGCTCTCCCAAAATCAAACTTTCTCTTCCTTGATTTCTGATTTTCAACACACATGGCTGGATATTATTCGTACCTCACTACAAAATGGCAATTACACAATTAAAAATCTTCAGCAGATAGAAGGCAAGGCAACTGGAAACTGTAAAGATGAGCAACCAATGACCAATTCTTTTCAAGTACTTCAGAAGCATGCCTCATTTTTGGTTTTGTACAGTTTTCTTAAATATAATTAGCAAAGAAAGCACAAGTTGTTTAGTTTGCATCTGGATAAATAATTACGGTAACTCAGCAAATTAACTCAGCACATTAGGAGGAAAAATAAAAACAATACAGGTAATCCTCGAGTTATGCATGTAATGCTTACATTTGTAACCGGAGGATTCGTTGGAGTGAATCACATCAAACAAACATGATCACTCCCTGCTTTCATCCACCCATTTGCTAATTGAATGCACTGGTCATTAAGTGCACATGTGGTATCTCCAGGTGGGGAAGGCCATGGGGGGCAGGGCTAACAATGGAACAGGCCACCTGCTTCAGACCCACCCAAGGCCTCCTTTGACCCACTGAGATACCTCATGCTCCCTCCCCTGGAGCCCCCACAATTGTTCCTCCCCCATATCCTGCCATGCCAGGTCCTTTACCCTGTGAAGATCTACAAGCTGTCTCCTCTCAGCCTCTCTGCTGCAGTTTCTTTGCCTGTTTGCACTCTTGGTGCAAAAAGCATTTGGAAGCTGATGAGACTTGAGTCAGTGAAAATGCAATGCTTCAAGCTCCCATCGGCTTGCAAACGCTTCTCATGCCGAGACTGGAAACTTCTGGGGGCTGTGATCTTGCACTACAGTACTTTAGGCCTCTGTTCTCTCCCAATGGAGGCCTGTAGCAGATCTGCAGCAAAAGGCTTTGCAAATGTAGGGAAGGCCTTGCGCAGATCTCTTGCAGGCTTCGGTGCGCAGAGAACAGAGTCCTACAGTACTATAGTGAGAGAACATGCAAGTTCGGTAGTGTGAAATCACACGCTACTGATCTCACGTGATCTTGTGCTACTTTAGGTCTCTGTTCTCTGAAAATGCATGGAAGCAGGCAAAGGAACTGATGGCTCACTAAATCGTCACAAAGTAAATGACTCTCCACAGGCCCAGTTCCTGTGGGGACCTGGCAAGGGGTGGGTGGGGTGAAAATAGGCAGAGTAAATGTTGCAGTACCTCTGTGGTCTTTCATAAGTGTGAACAACTGTCATGGTGCAGCAACACTCGTAACTTCGGGACTGTGTCATAAATACATGGAGGGGGGGAATAGAATGTCGTAACTTTGAATGATCGCTAAGTGAACTGTCATAATTCGAGGATTACCTATAGTTGATTTTACCAGATTCCAATACCTTACTTCCCAAATGTAAGACAAATATAGATAACTAGTATAGATAAACATTGGAGGAGAAGACTATTTCTTTAGCAAGGTTTCCAAGAACAAATGGCCATGTGAATAAAAATTAATTGTGTAACAGCAGAGGGGTGGGAAGGAATTTTTTTCTTTATGGCCTGTACAAATTAAGAGGTTGAA